TACTGCAATGGTGATATGAGACGCTCTAATGCACACATTTCTGTTATCAGAGTTATCTGGTTCTTTGTCTCAGTGTATAAACTCTGACAGTGAAGACATTGTTTGCTGGGAAATCAAACCAAAATTCTGAACCTGAGCACATCTCCCGCCTGCACCTCCTTCACAATAAAAGCTTCCCTGCAGCTGGAACAGTATTGCTGTGGCAGTTGCTGATATACAAGATTTGTGTTGCTACTTCTTAGTGAATCACAAATCATGACTAGACTATATCACCTGAAATCTAAATCCCAACTAAGAGTAAAAACAAATGATATTTTGGGAGAATGAGCAAAGTTGTGTCTTGTCACATTTAACAGAGCTCTGCAGAAAATCATAATCATTCATTTGTGTTCTCACATTTATAAAAGATGTATTTCATGGGTATAAATGACTAATTAGCATTTCTCTAAATACTGATCTTTTTGCACAAGTTAGCAGAATGTTAAATAGTGTCACCTTGTAAAAGTCAGAACAAGATTGTATTAAATCCAAGTGGCTTATCCAGATTAAATGCCCTTTCACTGTTTGCTCATAAAGGTTTGTTTTTTTTTCCCACCTGCCAGCCTCCACACATTTATCTTAATAATTTGATCAATTGAATATTCAACACTGTGGAATAACTGGTTGGATAAAGCAACTTGATAGTTCCTAAATCTGACTTGGATTCATGTCCAGCTCTACCACAAAGTGAACTGTGTTTTTCTGCATGGAAACTTAGGTTCAGAGACCGCTCAACTGTAGCTAAATATATTATGACTACTCAGTTAAACTCTACACATCAGACCAGCAAATGTTTGTAAAACCAGCTGATGGTCTAAATCTGTATTTGAGCTTCAATATACTGCAGCATATGCAAATTTAAATACTGTATCAGGTATGTCGGAAAAATGTCAAAACCAGTTCTTGAGAATGGCACCTACACACAGAAAGGTTAGTCGAGCTGCCAATATTTGAAAATCATGTTTTCATCATGTGACCAAGAAGGATCATGCATAGATTTAAAGGCTCCACTCATTTGGCAGCATGCGTTAAAATTCTCATCATTTTTAATTGGTTCTTGTTTGACATTGCACCACCTCTCACCTGTCAGTCAAATCATCCAACCAGTAGATTATATATTTTTGACTTTTCATCACTGTATCCATTTGAAAACATTTGTTAGAAACATAAATAATGAAGTGTAATAAATTATATTACTTTAATGAAGTAATTAAAACAGTAAAACATTACTTATTACATTTTTATACAGATTAACCAGTAATTTGTAACCTATTACATTTAAAAAGTAACCTCACTGATGACTGATGGTCATTTGGATGCTTGTACTTTTACTTTTATTCATTTTGTGATATTTTTGTTAAAGGATAGGTTCAGTTGTTTTAAAGTCAGCCTTAAACAACATGTACGTGTCCATGTACTGTAAAAAGGCGGTGTGTGTGATGATTCTTCTTGTTCATACTTACTGTATAAAGTATTGCGCCCTTTCACACACTGGTACTACTACAAGTTCTAACCAAGGTGGATTTATTATTGACTGATATGTTCCACCTGTTTAATCAAGTACCTTTTGTAAAGGGCTTATAACTTATTCATAAACATTGATCAGTTATTAGCTGTTCATAGGATCCACTTTTAGGTTTCCACACTGAAAAATAAAATAAAAAATCCAATAGCTTTTTGCTTTATTAATGATAATTGTGCATTTCACTTATGCTTCATGTGGCTCATTAGAAAGTGATAAACACAAAAATTCATAACTGTTGATGCAGTTTTATTTTCATACCCTTCCAAGATAAACCTTGAGTACACATAAAACTGATCTATAAACCATATATAGTAAATTATTTACCGTTTATGAACACTGTCAAAGCTAAATTCTACACAAGTGATAGCCATAACTGGTGCTTAAATTCCCAACGCTCTGCTTTTTAGTGCTCCGACTTTATATTTCAGTTGAACTGTGTGACTACTGATGTTACTCGCAGCAGGGCTGATCCAGGCGCCTGGATTTGTTCAGTCTGTTAGGGAAGCTTTTGATCACATGCTGAAAACCTCTTGAAATGTTTTACAAGTATCTCTCTGAATACATGTTCTGAGCCACATTGTACATTAATCATCAAACAGGGCTCTCATGGTGCCTCATTTATACTCTAATGTTGACCTGACTGGCTGCCTTTATAGTGGCTTCACCATCAAGGAACATTTTGCACACTTATTGTCATTTTGCCCATTGGTCTACACTCAATAACAAAGTAAAAACATGTTTGCATAAGTTTTAGCCAATTTATTTTAGTCATTTAGAAAAGTATTCGGGTCATCAGGTGGATCCTGTTTGCTTTAATTTGCCAGGGAGTGTGTCTAGAACTTACCTGGAGTCCAACTGGTGTAAACTCAATAGACTGGGCATAGTTCAGAGGACACAGGTCCCACAGTTCCCACTGCATGTAGGGACAAAAACAAGACCTGATGTTCAAGCACCTGTTTAGATCTCTGTGGTAAAACTGTGCTGAGGTACAGATCAGGAAAAGGGTATAAAGCCATTTCTAAAGCTCTGAGTGTTTTCAGCAGCACAGTGGCCCCAGTAACTGTGACATGGAAGAAGTTTGGAACTAGCCGGCTGTTGAGCTATACTAAGGGGAAGAAGGGCCTCAGTCAGGGATGTGACCAAGAATCCAGCAGCCCCTTGCATAGAGCTTCCAAAGACCACTGCAGAGACAGAGAACATGCTAGTAGGACGATCATCTCAGCAACCACATCTTTATAGAAGTGTTAAACACAAGCGACTGTTAGTAAAAGACATTACAGTCTGGTTTATGTAAAAGCATTTAAAGGGCTCTGAGAGCATAAGGAAAAAGATTCTCTGGTCTGATGAGACAAAAATGCAATGCTTTGGGCAGAACAAGCACTATGTTTGGTGAACCCCAGGCTCTGCTCATCACCTGCTAATACCATCCCTACAGCGAAGCATGGTGGTGTTTCTCAACAGCAGGGACAGGGAGGCTGGTCAGAACTGAGACAATGATGAATGCAGCCACAAACAGAGACCTTTAAAGGAAACCTGTGCCAGAGTGGTGCAATCTCAGACGGTCACAATGCCGTGATGGTGTCAGGATAAGTCTATGTATTGCTAGTGAATTAAGGGTCTGAATACCTTTATAAATAAGCTGAATCACTAAACATACCGAGACTCTTAAAACAAAGTGTTCTATAAATTACAATTACTGTATAATTATTGTTACTCTTAATATTCACTGGGTCTATAAAATGTAAGAACAGTAAAACAACAAATCAGTTTGTCTGCAAGTGTTTTGCCCAATCAATAGTCCAAATGCAAGGATATTACTGTGATATAAAAGAGAAAAAGAGAACATCTGAGACATTTTCATCCACTGTCACTGTACTTTAAATAATACATTTGTCGATGAATTGTCTAATCTCAACAACAAAATCAGCACCTCTCTAACACCAACAAAAACTGAACATTTCAAGCTTGACGGCAGATTTTGGGCAGAGCTGCTGTATTATGTACCTAATCAAGTAATCACCAAATAAATAATTAGAAAGTGCACATGTTGTTGGAGAACAAATTAAAAACACTGACCTCAGCTTTTTTTTTTTTTTTTTTTTTTAGCTATTTATTTTCAGTACTCAGCAGTAAGGATTATAATATATGGACAAGGTTTTCTGTTAAGAAATCAATTATCAAAACATAGTTTATAAAAGTGTATAGTAAGCATCACATATATATGGCATGGAAACAAAAAGCTAGTACTTTGAACAAAAAAGGGGTTATAGTTGCTCCAAACCAATCATATTCTTCGTCTTCTTCTTTGAGAACTACTTGAAATGTAGGTGGGAAAAGTGGGGGAATCAAATGCAGTGAAGGAAATGCTAAAATCAAAATAGAGAATGTAGAGTTATTTCTGTGTTCTAGATCAAGATCACATTGACTCCTACAGCACTTGACGGTCACTGCACGTCTTTGACATTTTCTTTTTTTTTTTTTTAAAAACTTTTTAGTTTAAAACTAGCACCAGTGCTCCTGAAAACGCTGACAAACTGTGTTCTTAAACACACACAGAGGTTTCCAGATAGTTGTGGGAGGGAGGGGGGGGAGAAAATAAAATAAAAAGGGTTAAAAAAAAAAAAAAAAAAAAAAAAAAAAAACAATAAATAAAAGAGGTTACCATAAAAGTGTAACATGAAAAGGGTCAAATGATGAGGACTAAATGCACTCCAAATAAAAAGGAGAGTCACCAGATCATCCCTTTTCAATGTGAGCTTGATTTTTTTGTGAGAAACCAAGAAGGGATGAGGACGTGAGGGGCTTTCAGTCAAACTGCGGAAGAGAGGGATGGTGGGAAGGCTTGACTGAGAAATACCGTCACAACATCACTTGGTAAAAGGCAAGAAAAACACTTTCCATTGTGTAGTTACAGTTCCTTACACATCAGAACAAAGTAGCGGCTCAGTGGAGCCCAGTGTTCATTAACAGAGTCCATCATCTCCACAGAACGGGGGCATTGTGGGTAGGGGAGAGAGAAGGGGGGTGTCAGGTGGGTGTTTTACATCAACACTGCTCTAAACTCACATATCCTAAAGACTAGCGCCGTCCATTACAAGTGTTAATAATAATCATAATAATATAAATAAATGCATTACTACAACGATCTGTCGTCTTTTTTCCTTCTTATAAAAGAGTTACTGTAGATAATACAGTCAGAAGTACGATTACAATACAGGATCAAACAAAACATCATGTCGGCTCAAGCCGAACAGTATACACCTTTCTTTACTTGTGTTTTTAGTTACCCACGTGGTGTCTGTCTTTCTCCTTTCCAGCCAAACAGCCACATTCAGCTGGTTAGAGTTGTACAGTAACAGGTTTAAGACAGAGCTTCAGGGATTCAGGGCCGGGCAGGATATCTATAAATGTGATATCTGACTCAAAAACTGGAAAGGAGTCAGAATACTGGTCACTGAAAAAAGCTGGCGTCGTCCCATGTCAGACTAAAATACTCCCACGTCACACAGGGGAGTTTTAAATTCATATAAATGCCTTCTGGTGAAGTAACAACTAACTGCAATTGATACCCCAGTGAAACAGAAACCATTGTTTTCTATTTCATGCAGCTGCATTAAAGGACTTCTAACAGAATGGATGAAAAGCTGATCGTCGGTGACTTTAGTGAGCTGTCTGGATTTGACAAATGATGTGGTCAAGCCAGGTTTGTCCACAACTGCTAAATGACTTATGTGAATTAGGTTGTGATTGTAAACTGCAGGAGCTAGCAAGCCAGCAGCAAAGTTGCTCATTCTTCAAACACTTTGCTGTCATTAACTTTTCTTATTGTCCTGGCAAATCAATGAGACTGCTAATACACAACCACCTTCAATTCAGCAGCAGTCACTTGTGCTGCTTAACAGTGATCACTACTACCAATCCAAACATCTCGTATAACTGTACAGCATGGAGAAGATTTAGATTTTATTTTCTATAACAATTTAATTCCTGTAAATTTAGCCATTTAATAATATCAGCAAAAAAGAACAGTCAGCAGTCTTTAATATGAGCCTAATTGCCACTGAACCATGAGATGTTAAATCACAAGGTTTTCCAAATTAGACTTAACTCTATGCAAAGAAACAGAGTCCACGTGCAACCAAAACGATTACGTCTTGGAAACACCGCTCGGGAAATGAGATACTGTGTTTTACACCAGTGTACTGACAATATCGGAAAACAACTGCTCAGTCACAGCTGGATATCCAAGTTACCCTGGTTAACCCTGTTAAATCTGTATGTGTGAACGAGGTGTCAGGAACTGGTCTGACTGGGAAGCTACAACAATATGAAGTTCATCTTGCTGCTGCAAGACACACACACAAAAACACAGACATTTAACCTGTCTTCAGTTGTAAAAGTTCCCAGGAATCATTGCTATCCTCTGTCAAACCATTAAGGTAAAATAAAGGGGAAAAAATAAAACCAAACAAACCCATGTCTTTACCAGCACATCCACTGCACCTATATGTTGGTCACTTAAATAAAACTGTTTGGACTGTTTAGACTGACTCAGTCAGAATATAGTTTAAAAACCCTGTGACAAAGGCCACGAGAGAAGATTTCAACAAGACGCAACTCCCTACATCAGCAGAAACAGGACAGGGTGGAAAACAGAGCAAACAACTGGAAACACTGGACCAATCTGCTCCTGGGATTGAAATGGACAGGATGGCTGGAAAAGAAGCAAAAGATTTCCTCACGCCTTTATGTGGACCCTCACAGCATCTTTACCCTGACAGTCAGTCTGTTATAAAGTCACTACCTCAGGACTCATCAGTCTCCATGAGCTGGTCTTTAATGCAGTCTCTGCAGCTGTGTGAGGCCCTGCCACCAAATGTCTCCACATTTCCAGAGTGAGAAAGTTTTGAGAACCTCAGCTTTGTAGGGCAACATGCAGTAGGGAGTAAGGCAGGTGTAGTGATGTCCATGCAGTGCTTAAAAACTGTCTGTCTACAGTCCATGTCTGCCTGTTAGTCTGTGTAGGACAGTTGGACAGTTCTACAACCAGAGCCATGTAGGAATGTCCATGAAGGATGCCTCAGCTTAGGAGAGGTTAAGAAAGGTGGAGGTGGTACGTGAGCAGCCATGTGTGTGCGCATGTCATCCATTTTCAGTCTTCTGTGTGTGCAGTGCCCATTCTGTGTTCTTCCTCCTGCTGTCAGTGTATGTTCTGTCATGTAGGACCTGGACTGAGTCTAAGCACCATGTCCTTCACACACACTACAGCCACACGTGGAAAATGAGGGAGAAGAGGGTGAGCCGGAGGAAGAACTACATTTGGCACCTCCAGAAACCATGGCATGTGACTGGCTCCCCATATCCCTTAACTCATATGAAGGGGCCGCCGGGCATACCCAGGAAGTTGGGCGCACCCATTGCAATGGGAGGGGGCGCCGCTGAGGTGCTCCAGTGCACCTTCATGTGGTGCCTCAGGTTGGACTTGGAAGAGAAGCGCTTGTCACACTGAGGGCAGGAGAACGGCTTCTCCTTGGTGTGGATGCGGCGATGACAGATGAGTTGGGTGGAGACACGGAAGGACTTGCCACAGTCAGGGCACTGGTAGCGTTTGGGCTCAGTGTGGATCCGTCTGTGGTTCTTGAGAGACATGAGGTTGGGGAACTCCTTCTGGCAGGAGCTGCAGAAGTAGGTCCCTGTCTTGTGGCTGTTCTTGTGGTTGAGCAGGGAGCTGGCATGTCGGTAAGACCGGCCACACTGGTCACACACGTGGGACTTGATGACCTCACTGTTGCCCCCACGGCTGCGGGCTGTGGCCATGCTATTCGGGTCGAGTCCTTGCTCTTGCATTAAAGTGAGGTCCAGGCCTGACCCCCAGCCCAGGTCCTGGGAGCCCCCCGGTCGAGGCTGCTGGGATCTGGGCTGGCGGGGTTGTGGTGCCTGGCCATGGGTAATCTCCATGTGGAGCCTGAAGCTGGCTTGCGTGGGAAAGGCTCTTTGGCAGGACCGGCACGTCAGCTCCCGCTGCTTCTGGTGGACCCGTCGATGGTTGTAGAGCTGGGAGGAAACACGAAATGCCTTGCCACAGTCATGGCAACGGTGGCGCCGTGTCTCAGAGTGTATACGGCGATGGTTCTTCAGGGCAAGCAGGTTGGAGTAGGTCTTGAGGCACACAGCACAGTGGTAGATGCCAACAGTGTGGGTGTTCTTGTGGTTGAGAAGAGAGCTGGCATGGCGGTAGGAGCGGCCACATTGATCACATCTGTGCAGAGACAAGGCAAAAAAAGTAGGGAGGAACCAGGGGATGTGAAGGGGGACAAAAGGAGAGAAACAAAGAGATTACTAACAGAAGATGGTAGTTTGTTTTAAATATTCTATCCAAATTAATCTCGGTTACTGGTTACCACTTTCTCTTTAAAATTAGTGAAAGATTTAACTACAAATTTAAGATGCTGCACATACAGGTATATGATCTGAAATCCGGCTTAAAGCTTTTAACTTTTAAAGAAGACTACAAAGTGGTGTACCATTTCAAGTTATGATTTGTAGACAGGTCATAGGGACGAAGACTGCTGGGTGGAGGAGGAAGGGATATGTGAGAATCTATGGACAAACAACTGGGACTCATGATGGGAACTGGGAGGTATCTGCCGCTCCCTGCACTGCACAAATGGACAAGCTCCTTTCACATCTGAAAACATTTCAAAAACTTCCATAGCTTTCTTTTGAGTGAATACTAAATTCTAAATGCAGTGATCAAAATCAAACATGCCACAAGAACCTCTACCATGTCAGACTGTGGTTCCCTGTAGCTACTGCGCTGACAAAGAATCCTTTAACTTTAACATGTGCAGTGCAGCTAGCTCCAAATACTTCCTAATCTTCCCTGTTATTTCAGTTTGCCAAGACATCAAAATGCAAGAGCCCATTCACACAACTGCAGTTTCTAGTCTTATAACTGGCCAGTAATATGAGACTACCTGAAGAAAACAAACACAAACAAATGAAAGACTACAGTTAAAATCATAACATAAGAGTGAAGAATACACAACACAATACTTGAAATGCTGCTTATATGCTACACACAAAATACTACTTAATTCAAAGCTGTGTCAAAGTTTGCTAAGAAAACAAAACATGAAAACAGTACATCTGAACATGAAATGTTTGATTGTAAATTGCCTAAAAAACTAAAGTGTGTGATATATGCTAACTGAAAGCAAACAGGGTTGACTTATCTGGTCTCTCCACTAATTCAATTTGTCCAAACTTCAGAAAAATCCGAATTCCGGCACGCGTATGGTCCCAAGGAAGCCGGATTGGAGATCATATACCTGTAATAGACATGTAGAGACCTAAATTTATCTTCACTAATTTTTTCCAACTTCGAAGAATCACAAACAACTGACGAGAACTCACGTGTACCGACACTCTTCGCCCTCTCCCGTGGGTGCAGTGGCCTTCCTCCTGACTTCCATGCCTACCTGGTTGTCCCCGCAGCGGTGCCTGGCCAGACCGGATCGACCCTGGAAACTCTTCCCACAGGTGGGGCAGCCAAAGGGGGTAGCACCCTCCTCGTGGACCTTCTGGTGGTTGCGGAGGAACCTGGCCAATCGGAAGGCTTTCCCACATGTGTGGCAGATGTGCTTCTTTCGCTGTGTGTGGATACGCATGTGGTTGCGTAGTGCCATATAGTTGGTGTAGGGCTTGTCACAAAAGTTGCACCGAAAGTTGCCTGTCTTGTGGGTGTGTTTGTGATTCAGTAAGGAGCTTGCATGTTTGTAGGCGCAGCTGCACAGGTCACAGGCATAGGGTCTCTCGTCAGAGTCCAGGTCCACAGAGCTTCTCTCCATGCTGATGTTTGTGGAGCTGTTAGTGGAGGATGAGGAAGGCAGATGCTGGGCTGGGCAGTCATGGGCTGCAAGCTCATCAGCTGTGGCAAAGCCTTCACAGCACCCATCACACTCAAAATCCATCTGGGCCCCAGGCCCCTGTGGGCCTTTGCACAAGCCAGCTGTAGTGTGGGTAGCTAGCTGCCTCTGGGTGCGGAAGCCCTTGCCACATTCTTGGCAGTTGTGCTTTTTCTGGGCAAAGTGGAGACGTAGGTGGTTTTTCATTGCCAGCCTATTGGGGTATGTAGAGTTGCAAACATTGCAGTGGTACTCCCCAATTTTGTGAAGGTTCTTGTGATTGGCCAGACTGCCTGCATGTCGATATGTCTTCCCACATTCTTCACAGGCAAAAGGCCGCCTTCCACTTTCAGCTGGGTCAAACTTCTGGGGCCTGGAAGTTCCAGCTGAAGAGTAGGGCTTTTTGAACCCTTGATGACTGTATTTGACTCCCATTACCTGGCTCTTTGAGGACTCTCCCCTTATAGTCTGCATTTGAGACGGGCCAGGCTGCTGGAAGCGGGAACCGTTGGGTCCGGTCCGAACCAGGCCTTTAGCTCGGTGCTCCTCGTGGAGGCGGAGGTGGTTTATCAGCTGCTTTTGGATCTTGAAGGCCTTCCCGCATTCTTCACACTTGTGCATCTCTGTAAAAACATTAACATTTGCTTAACATCAACCAATATCAGGGTGGTAATGGTACTTGATAGTTTGTGGAGGCTACTACTTCATGCATTTGGCCCAGTATCAAATTTCAAATACAGTGGACCCCGGCAAATTAGGGGTTCAGAGTTCACAACTTCAGTCTTTCGCGGATTTTTCCTTGGAACATAACTAATAGATCTCTGCGGATCCCCAGCAAATTTGCGGAATCTGCAAATATCCTTCACAGCATTTTTATGGATGTTTTCTTGGCAATATACAATTTTTCATGCGTTTTAATGCCAAATTATTAAGAATAATAGAATTTTAATAATTTTGTAACATAAATATCTTAATGCTGCCCAACATCCCTGAACAGTTCAGTTTACCACATGTCGCTATCTTGAGTGTTCCTCCAAGTGTTTTAGCAATTTCGTTTGCTATTCCTCAAGCCCTAAGATGTCTCCCAAATGCTGTGCAGCACCTTCTAAGGAATCTGGGAAGGCCCCTAAGAGGTTTGAGATGCTCCAGGAGAAGGTTGAACTTCTCGATTTTCTTAAGGAGAAGAAAACTTTTGCCGCAGTTTACTATACTATACATTATTTTGTTAGGGATAATGTATCAAGTTGAGTTTGACATTAAATTAAAATGTTTTGGGAGCACATTCAGGGTTTAAACTACACTGTTAGGTATTTTTAGTTAGATAGATATTGGTTAGATACTTGATGTATTAGAAATGTTTAGAGTAGACAGGATGTCTGGCTCATGGCTCTTAAAACACTTAGTCATTATCATGAGTGCTGCAGGATGCTTATAGTCAAGGATAACTAGATAGAAAGTTGATGACTGTTAGAAGACAGGATGCTTAATATTATTATTATGACGTGTATAACTGTAGCCATAGCCATAATATTTTCTTATGTTTAATGTCATGACATGTCACTAGAGGTCGTGTTAGAATGTTTTTAGCTACACACCACATAATCAACATACATTCACACATTGATTTTTCCTCATGTTTTGGCTACTGCTCTGGGCAGCTGCAAAGCTGGCACTGGGAGACACCTCGGCTTGGCGTCTCCTTGTAGTATGGGGTTAGCCCCAAGTGATATAATGTATAGGCCTGTTGTGGTTCAGGGTCTTTCATTTTTCAGCTGCCTGCGTGCATGTTGGAGGTGCAAGATACCTGAGCGTGTAATGTTAATTTTTACCTGTGTTCATGGAATAAATCAGCACTGTTTTGAAGTTACTTGGACTGCTTCGTCTCTCAGATTTAGCATGATAAAAAGAACCGAATGCAACAACATAAATAAAAATGACAAGGTCAGTCACTAGTAGACATTATGTTAAAAAGGTAGACTAGCCACTGACAATGTGCAACCCCTGGTTGGCACTCCAGTACAATGTTATAATGAAAAATAAAACTGCAACCAACTCACTACAGATAATAATAATCAGAATGTCCATGTTCTTTGAGTTGCTACGTTATGTAGTTTTTGCTTCATAAAAATTTTTAATAAAGATAAAATTACAAAAAAAGAATGTCAGCTCCGGCAAACACCGTGCAACAAAAGAATAATACAAAATCTTGTAAACTGAATCAACAATTAGCAGTTTAGAACCATAGTGATGAAATATAGATTAAGCTCACTCAAAACAGATAAAACATAAAACATGAATGCCTCAATTTTTTGTCTTAAAGCATTACCTTTATGAGCCAAATTAAATGCTAAGTGATGCAGCAGCTGTGAGAATTTGAATTTAATGAATCCCTGCTAGAATGTATGTAGTATACCATTTATTTAGTCTTGATCAAGAGATCAAGCAAACCCTTATGTTAAGATGTGTTCCTAATTTTATATCCACCATTAATTCCTATTCTCTAAAGTACATAACATGTAGCATTGTTTAATCTCTTTTTAACATCTGGCCAAACTTTAGACCCTACCTTTTAAGATCAAAGTGGGTCCTTTGGTGATTTTTGAGAGCCAGCAGATTGTAGTAGCGTTTCTGGCACACCAAGCAACGGAAAACACCAGTCTTATGGGACTTCTTATGATTAAGGAGTGAGCAGGGGTGTCTGTATCCTCGTCCACACTGGTCGCACTTGTGGGGCTTGTCACTTTGGTCAACCATAGCCCTACGTCCATCACTGCCAACATCACAGCTTCCTCCAGCAACCCCACCACCTACGCCATCACCTCCAGATATACCTTTGGCTCCGTTCAGGCCCTGCTTGTTCAGTGAGCTGCCCCGATTCTTACCAGGGCACAGGTGGGTGATCAGGTGGTGGCGGTCAGCAAAAAACATGCCGCAGTCAACACAAATATGGTTGCGCCCATCCATCTTGTCATTGCCATTAGCTGAGCTGCCTCCAATACCCTGTTGCTGGCCATCTGGCCTTTGTGGGCCATGGATTAGCTGGTGATTCAAGAGATCCTGCTTCCTAGAGAAGCTCTGGCCACAGGTAGAGCAGATCATCCTCCAGTCTTGCTCCAAGTTAGAATGTCCTGGCCCTGTTGGGTTATTGGCATGGCTACGCAGGTGGCTCCTGAGAGCTCTGAGGCTGGCATAATGGTTGCCACACACTGAGCACTGATACACTTCTCCATCGTCCTCATCATCTTTGTCATTGTTCCCCATCCTCTTGCCTCCGCTCTGGGAGTACTGCCGTTGGCTGCTACCTTCTTTCAGGCTGCTGGAGCTTCCAGCAGGCAACGAAGTTCCAGTGGAGCTGTGGTAGTTCATGGTCCCCATAAAACCATTGGACATATTTCCCTGCTGCTGCTGAGGCTGCTGTTGCTGCTGCTGCTGCTGGCCACGGCGAGGACACATGTGTGCCTTGATACCAGATACATCTCCATACATCTCACCACAGTCAGCACACACATGTCTGTCAGCCTGCCGGTGAGCAGAGTTGCTCTGGGATAGCGAGCTACCATCAAAACGATCATGAAACTCAAGAGAGTCCAACCCACTGCTATGGCCTCCATCTGGTACAAAGTGGGCAGCATCACCAAGATTTCCCTGCAGCGAGATTGGAGTGGTGGCGCCACTGCCTTCCTGTACATAGCTCTGTTGGGAGTCCAGAGTTAATGGCTCTGGAGATAGCCAGTCATTGCTGTCATTATTAATTGGCTGATTGGAAGGACGACCCTTGTGGCTTCTTAAGTGGCTGTGTAGCGCTGCCAAGTGAGGGTACTGCTTACAGCATATGGTGCACTGGTAGTGGCCTGTCTGATGGCAGCGTTTGTGGTTGACCAAGCTTCCTGCATGCCGGTAACTTTTGCCACACTCTCCACACTTAAACCGCCTCTCTCCATCATCTGGAGAATTGGCCTGGGGCACACGGCCTCCAGAGGGAGAAGAGACTGAGCCCTGTGATCCAGAACTTAGCGTGTCTGAATTCAGGAGTGAGTTGTCCTGACCATGGGCAGCAGGGTGGGGATCATGGGTTAGATAGTGGACTTTCAAGGTCTCCAAATCTGGGTGTCCTGCTCCACAGTATGCACATGTATAGATTGGATTATTGACCGGAGGACCCATTATGGGATCATAGGGACCCCGTTTTTCACTAGGCAGGGGTGGCAGGGGTAGAGGGTCCCCGAGGGTTGGAGTGTACGCTGGGGAACGAACTGCACTCAGATTGTGAGGCATGATGCCCGGAAAACTGCGTGGCAAGCCAAGAGAGGGCGAGGCCGTGTTGTGCAGCAGGATATGCTCTTGGAAGTCTGCCTTATTTGGTAGGGCTAGCTGGCACAGGTGGCAAAAACAAGAGGTTGTGTCATCACTTTGGGAGGACTGGGTGCCGCTGCTGCGCTCCGAGTCATGGAGGCTGCTGCTGCTACTACTGCTGCTGCTCACCATGGATGCCCCAGGGGTCTTGAACTTCGAATGAGTTCTCTCGTGGCTGTTTAGGGCAGCCAGATTGCTAAATTGTTTGAAACACACAGAGCACTTAAAAGTTCCTTGTTGGTGACACTTCTTATGGTTCACCAGGCTACCGTGATGCCGGTAGGTTCTGTCACACTGATCACACTTGAATGGCCTGTCCCACGCGTCGTCTGATTCAGGGGAGCCTTTTTTTCCGTGGTCGTCTGTCTCGTGGCTTTGTAGGACACTATGTCCCATACCACTGTTATTCAAGTGAGAGCGCCCAAACCCGTCAGAGAGGTCCTGGGCAAGACCGTAGTCCCTCTCGTCGTGGCCTGCTTCTTCTGGTACTTCTTCACTCTCTTCTTCTGTGTGCGCACTACTGGGAGATAATGTATGGATACGTAGGTGATTCTTCAAAGCTACTGCGTTGGGCAGGGTACGTGTACAAACAGGACACTGAAATGAACCTACTTCGTGAGATTTTTTATGATTTGCTAGGCTAGCTGCGTGCTTGTAAATTCGGCCACACTGTTCACACTCAAAACGTCCAGTCTCTTCTTGCTGATAATGTGCTTTCATATGCTCTAGAAGACTTGGAGTACTCGGGCAAACCATATCACACTCTTTACAGGGGAAACCCTTGGCACGACTCATATCATGCATTGCCATAGTACTCTAAAGCAATCGGTTGGAGGGAATCACGGTTCACAACACAGCAATGAACAGTGATGTTAGGGACGTGGGGGAAGAAACAGATGGGCTTAGTTCTTCAGTTGAGGGCAAGAGTGCTGGCCATTTTCTCCCCAAGCGCCACTCAGCCAGGCAGGTCCAGTCAAACAGGGCCCACCCAGGGTGGGCCTGCAGGGGTCACACCAGCCAATGAGGTATCACTGTGGAGATAAGAAGAAGAAGAAGAAAAAAAAGAGGGACTTTAGATAATTTCAGTGGCAAGTTACAGGAGACCATGGCCTCTCTTAAGAGCTTACAACTAACACTGTTTTATCACCTTGAATCTTTACTTTATTTTATGAGAATGGCAAATAAACTAAAATTTGGAATGATGACATTTCAGGAGTCTGTTACAGAAAAACTAATCTGATTATTTTCTCAATCAATCAAATAATAGTTTTGTTCCTAAATGTCAGGAGGAAACTATTTCCAGGAGCCCAATGTAACATCTTTACATGCCTTGTTTTGTCAGACCAGCACCCTGATATCTAAAAATATTCAGTTCACTTCCAGGTACAGCAAAGAAAAGTAGCCAATCCTCACATTTAATAAGCTGGAACCAGCACATTTTCAGCATTTCTGTGTAAAAGTGACAACTGATTTTCAGAATATTGGGTTAATTTTCTATAGAACAACTAATCAATCCTTTGACTCATCACTAGTTAAATACAACAACTTTCTTTCTGCCCTTTATCTTTGTTTAGAGGTGGTGTTGACAGCTTGTCCATACAAGATCTTACAGAAAGTAAAATCACTATATAGGAGAGCTACTCAAATATAAGTCACAGAGGTCCACTTCCAGTGTAACAGGAGGGTCCAGGAGAGTTGGATTTAGGAGATCACATTTGAGGTTTAAAAACTCCAGATTGGTAGTGAGGTTTTATTAAATGCCCCTTTTTAAGATATTACAGCCAATGTCCACTAAACAAGAGTGAAAAAATGTTTGTGTGCAGCGTTTATTACTATCCAGCCATTAGTCACATCATTAGTTAATGACCAGAGAGATTAAAATGAGTTATCATCTGTGACTTTAACAGACTAAAATGTAATCTGTAGCAGACTATACTGGATAGCCTCTTTAGTCAGTTCCACTGACTATATGTAAACATGGTTGATATGATGGCTGCCAGAAGTGAAACCACCATGACTCAATCGCCCCCGGTGGCTGGTTGCAGTATAGGTCATAAATTCCATCTCACCCCCCCACTCCCATACCAGAAACCAAACAGTTCATTTAAAAAAGGATATATCAGTTAAACATTATGATGCATTTTCAAAGTCAGTGTAATTGATTATGTCAACTAATTGCGGCAGCCTTAGTGTGCATAAAGTGAAAAGGTCTAAATGCTTTCTCCCTGGCTACTATAGATAGAGGTAGAGACACACAGAGAATGGGGGAAGGGTGGTAGCTGGTAGTCAGTTCAGGTTTGGAGTGAGGGATGAAGAATGGGGAAAAGGAAAAAAAGGAAAGTGGAAAAAAATAAGGGTATGGGGAGAACCTGATTGGCAGGAGAGGAAAATGCTGGGGGAGGGGTGAGTATGAAGAAGATGGGTAAGAAACACACACAGAGAGGACAGATCCTGATGAGCTGTGGTCTGACAGGTGGGAAGGCTGAGAGAAAATAAGACCAGGTGCAATTACACACGCTGAAAACAGCAGAAACTCTGGATTAAAAAAAGCTAATATTGCATGTTATTGAATAAATGTTTGTTAACTCAAATTAATCTAAAGCGGTTTAAAATCTCTGTTCACCTGTTTGACAAAATAAAACATCCTGTACTTTAATACTGGAGCTGCAATCCTGCAGATAGTTTGAGTTTTATCTACTGAGACTTCTGCCTCCACTTCGGTTCAGTGGCTGCAGTGTTTGCCCTAATTTTTTGTCAAAAGCAGTGCTGTTGTATGCATGTCCACAAGCGTGCATTGCTGGGCCATTATACATGCACTGGAGAAGGAATGGCTTTAAATGACTGTAGAATGGTTATGGATGGAGTTATTCATGTTCACATTCTCATTTGTGTTAATTCACCTGGAACTTTTGACACCTGAAAGACTCCAGAGGCCCAGATACATGTAATACATGTCAAAGAATGAAAGTCCTCAACATATAAACAGGAGGTTGGCCCAGGGCACAACACAATGATAAATGGTCTTGGTCTTACTATGCACTTTTGTACACAATGAAGTGCACTAAAAGTGGTATACATTATTTTCCATTCACACACACTTTCACACACCACTGATACCACCAGGAGCAACTAGGGGTCCAGTGTCTTACTCAATGACACGACGACATACAAACTGGAGAAGCAGGGCATCGAACCTATGGTTAGGGGACAACCCATTTGACCTCCTGAGCTACAGTGGCCCCAGTACTGGTACATAGGGCTGGGTTACGATAGCTTTCGAACCAAACATGGCAGACCTGCTTAACCGCTCTGAAGTCAAAGAAACAACTGCAAAAAGTGATATTTGCAGGTCGGTACTCACAGTGAAGGGGGTAAGGTCTTCTAGTGTCCATCATGTTAAAGTAAGAACTTGTGATATATATTTAATAACACAAGGAGGTCGAGTGCTCAGCCTCACTGAGTCTACTGCTGATGTATTGTGATCTGTCAGCTCTGTACCGGTGCAACAACCAGCCCACCTTTAGGAAAAGCTAAGGTCATGGTTAAGCAAATTATCAGTGATTTATTAAAATAACATTAACTGAATGATAAAGCAGATTTATTAATTTCACTGTTGTATAAGTAATATGTTTTTTTTTTTGCAAATGCAGCACAAGAAAACATGAGTGAGGACAGGGTTAATGAATGTCACAGAGCAATGACAAAATCAAATACAACACTTCAGCTCAGCAGAATGCCCATAGTTTAGATATGACAGTTCATACTGTAGTTAGTGTCAGGCTATCTGGTAAATAGTCCATAATAACATTTAAAATGACCCGTTGTGGTTAGAAAAAGCTAGATTCATAAATATTACACTGTTCCAAAAAAAAAGTTTTTTTTGCTTCTATAGTGGGTGAAATTAAAATACATATTTTTATACTAACAAACTTAAGTGTCTCCGTTCCTTGATGCATGTTTTATGAATAAATATATTATAATTAGCATTAATCAGATTCAATAAGGGATTCAAAAGGATTCAGGATCCATAATTGGATCCAGATTCAATTAAATGCCATCAAATTCCAGCCCTACTGGTACATTAGCACAATCAGGCCTTTTCCACTGTAAGAACCTACTGGCCTGAAACAGAATTTCCAGAACCCCTTGCCCGGGTACTGCCTTTGTTTCCACTGCCCTCCATCCACTTTGGAGATGAATTTCCAGAGCTAAATTACAGCGCACCTCAGGAGCCCTGCCTTCCTGACTGGTTCAACATCAGTGTTGTGATGTCTCAACATACAGTCACTAGTTTAGATATAAAACGGGGATTTCAGTGGGATAACTTTAACCCTGACTGAGCTCTGCTGACTGAAACCGCACATTCACACAACACCAGATCAGGCCAATATGCTCTAATGAAGTCAAAACGCATGAAGCTACAGCTGAGCATAATTTAAAAATCTACCACCAGAATACAAGAGCCCACCACAGCTTCAGCTGCAATTCATGACATACACACAAAGCAGAAACAACAAGACTGAGACAACATAAAGGCTTCAATCGAGCAGAAAGACCTGCAGCTAAGAACTTGAAAATGTGCCCAGAAAAAGACTTGGCTGTAAGGGTATGGTACTGTTCATCAGCAGTGCTTTAGTTAACAAATCATGCAGAGTGACAGTCGCAAGTGCTGCTATTTTATTACTTCTTATTATTATTAATGCACAGCAAATCATGGTGGTTTTCTTTACAATGTTTACAATATGTAAAAGGATAATATCCTTGTGAATGGTGCTCTTCATCTGTTAGTCTTGCACACAGCTAAAGTGCTAGCTACCAAAGATATACAAGTTTTAACCACAGACTGTATATAAAGATGGACAATGTGTCAGCGCACAGAACTTTATATTTCTTTGATGGTAAAGAGGGAGTGATTTCAGACAGACTTGGTTATACACATCATTTAAAATTGTTTCATTACACATAAAATAATCCTAATCAGTTTAACAGCTTGAAATGTCTTATATTACCTGCAGAAGGCAGTAACACTGTTAAAAGTAAAAACCAGCTTGAGGGCAGCAGAACACTGAGCTACTGCTCAGACTCAGCACAGTTTAAGGAAGGAAAAACAAAGAAGTGGTCATAGTAGACAGGGAAGAGATGGAGAATTACGCCAGATGTTTGATGTAGGGCAAGACAAAGAAAACCAACAGCAGAGCCAGTCGGAAGAACGTAAAGCAGCCTTCAACCCAGCACTGACAGACATGAAACATGACCACACCTCTGAATACATTTTATAGCTTGCCTCAGACTTTTAATTGAAAATCAAATGAAAAAGATGCTAAAATCTGTTAGTTTTCCACAATCTAAGGCAACGTCTTCAGCTGTCTTGTTTTGTCCAACAGTGCAAATCCCAAAGACATTCAATTAACTGTGAAATCAGAGAAAAGGAGAAAATCTAAGACACTGGAGAACTCAGAACCTCAATGTTTATCATTTGTTCTTGACAAATGACTTATCAAATTAATGATCAAAATACTTGATTTTTTTGCACTAACCAACAATTTGCATAACTTCTAATAATGTAGTTATGTACATATAACATTAAACTATAGGACAGCATACAGCAGTGACAATTCTAACTGATAGAGTCATATTTTTAAAGACATTCACAGGTGCCACCTTAACAATAACGAGTATCTACTGGTTTTCTTCATCTTCCATAAAGAATTGAGCATCTCTGGGCTTCTAGACTAGTGGTTGGACAAAACAAGACATATGAACACATCAGCTTGGACCCTGGGAAACTGTGATGGACATTTTACAGACCAAGCAATAAACAGGCAGAGTGATAATGAAAATAACTTAAGCTGTGTCAACACTGCAAACATAGCATGTGCAGCGTACAACATCCGACGTGGACCTCATGAGAGGCTCACACTTGTGTCTAGATTGGATGCATGTTCACTTGCACATTGGGAGCTCTTGGTGTACAATAAGCACATAGAGGAGTGTAGAGAAACACATTTGAAAACAGAAAGCTATGCATAATGAAGGAATTACTGGCAGTATATGCACACCCTTAACTAACCAATTAGTCAACTGACAAAAAACTGACTGGTAACAATTCTGATCATTTAATCATTTTATTTTATTTTTAAATATTCTGACTTTTTATAAACAATGCTTTATCACGAAAATAATCTGGTTATTAATCAATAATAGAAATCACAATTAGACCCTATGTGCAGTCCCAGTGTGTTATATTCTGAGATAATGCCCTCTATAGCAATGTAACTTCAATTTACTTGACATCTTAATATTGTGCTCCTATTTTTCTGTTTATTGTGTTGCTGGTATGACAAAACTCCCTCCTGGAAAAAAATAATCTTACTCCGCAACAGCTCTGAAAGAATCATGGACGCATCTGATTCACAAACAGATTTGAATCGGGGCCCTCGGCAGCAGCCAATCACAATTCTTTCACCTTTTCTCTGCCAACTCTTTTTGTGCCTCTGACTTTGAAGCGCAGATAATGTAAACAAACCGAGCTTGCACTGGAAAAAACGCGCCAGACTGATTAAACTGCACACACAGTCAGTCAAAGCCAACCGATGCATGCAGCTGTTTGTGTTCTTAAAACAGATTGAGGTCGCCTGGATTCAAACATTTTTCGCCCTGCGCAGAAAAAACCCGGGTCTGTTCACACGCCTTGTTTTGATGGGAGACAACCAGCGGAAGAATTCCAGGTTTCAGTGCTCAACCCGCAGCTGTTTATCCTCTACATTAAACTCCTTATCAGAACATGTATCGTTTTTATTTTGACTCAGAAAGAGTCGTCACAGCTGCAGCAGGGCTCCCTGACCTTGGCCCGTCTCCTCTCGTAAGGATTCAGTCCAGGCATGAATTTATCGGGACAAAGCGGGGTATCTACACCACCGACATTTCCTTCGGCCGACTCCCCAATTTAATCGGGGGAGTGACGCCCGAAACTGACCTGTCGGTGAGGAGAGCACGGATAGGCTAGCCATTGAAAACCCTATAGTTATACCCATGTATTAACGTCAAGATTCTTCCAGCAGAGCAGGGACAACACCTTCAGCCATCAGCCCACTTTTACCGAGACCCCGTTTCCATCGGAAAATGGCTTTCGAGCAGCGAGCCATTTTCCCCATGCTAACAGGCTACCCACGCTTTTATTAGCCCCTGAAACACAACCTGCTGGCACATCAGCTGCGTGAGCAAAGTTCAGTTGATGAAAACGCGATGTAAAGTAACTGTATGCGCAACCCGGACATTCTAGCCTTTTATGAAAATTGCATTTTATGGCTAAAAGATGAAAACAGGCAGATATGGATACAAGACTGAGCTAGCGTCAGCACTGGCGTCTGGCTAGTTAGCAACCCCCTGCAATGAGAAGGGGGGGTAAAACGGAAGTTCTAAACAACAAACAATGCATATACATGGAGGTACTAATCAAAGATATGTAATGATTTATCTTCACATGTAAAAAATAAGGTTGCTCCGAGTGAAAATTGTCACCACTGCAGGAGCTCGCAGAGGGTTAGCATGCCAGCTAGCCCTAGCAACCTGAGGCTAGCCCGGAGCTACACAAAGATCTCGACAAACACAACGCGGCCCCCCTAGACGGAAAACCTGGTTTTCCAGCCGTTTTACACCCCATACTTACCCCTCAATTGGCCTCTGCGCCCGCGAAGAGAATTATGCACGGCGAGGATATGCAAAATGTGCAACAATCACGGATTAGGCATGGTTATTTTTTCCTCCTCCTGATAAAACACCGACTTTTGGTTCTTGGCTGTCTCCCCCCTACTGCCGCTTCGACAGTATACTTCCTGCCGCTACCGCTGCCGCTGCTAGCCGTGCGGAGCCGGAGCGCACACTTTTACGCGTCATCATGCGCATATTAAAATTTCCCTAGCTTCAAATAACACAAAGTTTGTGCTTTCACCATCAGATTATAGCTTCTTGGGGAGCACATACGTCTTAGGTTGTGTGCCCCAGAACCCATTCATGTCATTTGTGTTTATTTTTATGTAGATTGTGAGACAAACAGAGGGACTCGGCGCAGCTCGGCCTATCAGCCCCTGGGGATAACTGAATCGAGCCTGGCCATGCTGGGTGATTATGGAGCATATGACACTCGGGTGATTTTATCAGCTCGTAGCCAGCAAGCGGGAGACAGATGTGCATCCTGTGAGGGAATTAGAGGGGCTTCACGTTAGAAATGGCCCTGCTGCTGGGCTGAGCAGCTTTCAAGCTGCAACAATCATTATCACTCAGTCCATTACTCTTTAATGAATATATTGATTCTTAGTGTTTCCAAAGGCTTTCTTAATCTGGTTGTGGCTCTCAAGTAAAATATTTGTCACAGACCCCATGCCTGGACTGACCTTCCAGCCTCCACTTACCAACTTTGGTCATTGTTCCCTGTATAGGTGTTGCAAAGACATCGGCTGTTTTCTACAGTTGGTAACACACATTTCTCAATATCCAGTTCACTTCCAGCTGTCTTTACTGAAATGCCGCTCAGCATCTAGAGTTAACTCTGGTACTTTTGTCTTTCAACAAGAACACTTTTTCACTCAGAACACAAATGACCTAAATACACTAACAGCAAGTGTCATTGCACTGTGTAACACAACTGCATTTGAAATGTTCTCTCTCTCTCTCTCTCCATATATATATATATATATATATACACACACACACACATATACAGTCTCTGTCCTTAAGCTCTAACATGATACCAAACGATTCACTACAGGGTAGGTACAGTTAGTGAACATGTCTCCTGCATTTGTGCATTTGGCCATAAATTCTTATCCACATAACACCTTCTGCCCTCTCAAGTTTTTACATATCTGAATAGTCCCTGACAGTCTTCAGCATATACTGTATGTCCAGCCATCCAGCCAAACATCTGATCAAGTAAACAGTGGTTAGAAACTTTCCACCTTCATGAGCAGACAAACCTCTCAGTGAAGTTGAGGAAAGGAGAGCTGAAAAAAAGAGAAAGGTGACACCATAGTGGGATGGGCTGTAAACCACTTTGTGACTAAGACAGAATGGTGAAAGCCTATGTTGTCCCATACAATTAAAATATGTTCTAGATTCAGCCTCACCTGCATTTGCTTTTCTCATCTGGTGCAAAACGTCATGGGAGAAGGCAATGATTCAGTGATTTTGTTGTTGTTGTTAACAGTAATTTTGTGTCATGTTTGGAACATAACACTAATTAGCTATAATGAGCAAAATAACCTGTTTCTCAAATGCCAGAGAAGATCTGCACTTTCAGTGAGGGTTTTGTTTTTACTTATGTGTAATATTTCATCTCACATACCAAAATATCATTGAATCATCCAAGGAATCATTCATTGTATCAGGAGACATTTTTATCAGTTCTGAGACTTCTGCAGTATCACAATGATAAAGTCATATACAGTTGCCTGAATGCCAAACATGAATTTCAACATCGTGTTCAACAGTTTCTCACTGTTATTGTTTATTTTTCTGGAAAATACAGTATGCATCATTGTCTTATACATGACAGATTAGACTGCATTTAAAAAAATTCTCATAAAATATACATGAAATGGAACTAAGTTAAATTGAACTAAATTATAAACACACAAGTTTGCTGCACAGTGGTGCTCTGAGCACTTTTCAGTGTTGGTTTAAATCCAGCAGTAGGTGGAGATATTACAATTTTTTTTAATATTCCGTGACTTATGAAATTTTACATGCACAGGCAGTATGTTGTTCAGTATTGTTATCGGTTTTGATGAAACTCTGATCGTACATAAATAAGAAATATATATGTAGCCTACCCCCTTACACCATGCTTATTTTTGTAGATTTTTGGCTTTAGTGATGGTGGATAACTAAATTAAAACACATTTTAGGGGAAAAAAGCATACCTGTGTATAACAGTATTACATTAAATTTGAGAGGAATTTATGAGGAGTATAAGTTACAGAGCCATTGTTTGTCAGAAGTGATTTTTTCATTAAAAGCAAAGAGCAGTTAATTGTCCTCCGAAGCATAAATAAAATATCGAAGGCGTCATGTAAGAACTTCTCATGAAATCAATAAATGTACTATTGATGTGCTGAACATTTTATTATGTGCAGAAGTTGTGAAGGTGAGAATATAATAACATAATCATGATATAATGTTTTCCATTAAGGTTTGTATATATTTGTGCCTGTTTATTTTGTCATTGTATGTAATTTAATTAAAATATAACTTTGCATGACATAAACGGTGTATGAAAAATAGTTAATTTCTACCACATGTCCCAGAATCCCTTGCGCCAAAGAAACGTCACTATTCGGCGCCAAACAAATTCTCAACTCTTTTCCTCTTCGCGTCGTTTGATATTATACTGCTTCATTTGTTATATTCCTGCGGCTCTTTGCCAGTTTTGGTGGAGCGCTGGGTGTTTTTATTCAGCAGAATGGGTCCCGTAGAGGTAAAGTTGTTCATGTGTGTAAAACTCTCGCTTCTGACATGAATTATAGAAACTTACTGACCTTTTAATTTAAATTTTTTTTGCAACTCCTTCGCGCTTTGTGTTGTGTTGTCGTCTAACATTTGGATACCAACGTTAGCATATGATACATTTCTCGTACGTTAAAAGGTTAATTTAGGTTAATAAGCATGGCCTTTTTATGTTAAAGAGAATCTTCTGGTTAATTCAACATTTGCCAAATCGTTATAGTGATAAGTCATCTCCAGTTATTTTGGGAAAAACCTAGCAGACAGAAAATGTAGAAAAATGTATGTCAGTGATATTTGAAAGAACTTTCAGAAAGATATCCAGCTGAGCTCCAATCAAAGCTATGCATTCATTTATCCATCCACTATCTATACTGTTTATGTCTGTATTAAAAATATGGGTTATATGAACATTTGTTAACGTTGTTTTTACTAAAATAATGACCAGATCTGTAGGGTTCACAAAATCGGTGTGATTTGGCGCCGCAGATGGCTGCCTCGGTTCTGTGCCAGAAACAAATTCCTTGTGTGTAACTTACTTGGCCAAATAAAGGTGATTATCTTTATCCAATTCTGATTTCCCTGCTCTACCAGATCAATTGTGTATTGGCAAAACATCTGTAGAGGTTACATCAACTGTAGATGGTATTGTCATTGCTGTCAAACAGGTAAAGTAACAGACAGGTTTCCTCTCTGGTTCTTGTTATAACAGCCTAAGGACAGGGACTGTGTGTAAATATGGTAAATGAAAATTTAGCTTTGAGCCAGTATAATAAAAACCACAATAAAAACTAAAAAATGTTCTCTGTTTTTGTCTGCAGCTCCTCCACATGTCAGTTTTCTCTCAGAGTTTTTCCCCCTGTGGTCGGTTCCTGGCAGCTGGAAACAACTATGGAGAAATTGCACTTTTTAGGTCAGACTGCATGAAAACACCTCATAGGACTCATGAAAACACATTTTATCTTCATGAAGGTGTGCTGATGAGTAATTAATGATGATTGTGTTGAACTGTTGTAGCCTATCTGCAGCTCTGAGTCCAGAGGCAACAGGACTAAATCAGAAACCTGTTCTAACCTTCACTGGTGAGTTGTAAACTTATCTGTACTAACATTTAAACAAATTAACATTTTTTAAGACAGTGTTTTGGTTTTTTGCCTTTATTTGGCAGTTGATAATGAGATGGAGACAGACAACGTGAGAGAGAAGGGGGAATGACATACAACAAAGGTCTACAGCCAGAATCAAATCATGGCTGTTGCATTTTTGTGGCATGTTCTGTAACTGTTCAGCTACCAGGGTACTCGAGTCCAAGTTAACTGTTTCTGATTGTGAAACCTTTGCCATGAATTTGGACACAACACTTTTAAGGATTTTTTTTTCAGTGTTGGTTTATCAGGCTGCTTTGGAGGCAGAGAGACAGCAGTCATTTGATGTGAAAAAATATTTATCCAAATTTCACAAAGCCCAAGGTGACATTTTCATGTGTACCTTTTTGTCCAACAGCCCCACAGATATTTGCTATACTGCCATATTAAGAAAAGGAAAAGCAGCAAATTCCCACATTTGAGAAACTACACATCAGATCATTCCTGGTCAATGTTCTGTTGATCAACTTATTATCCATTAATGACTTATTGTTGCAGTTCCACTTAGATTGTCTACTTCAAGACTGAAAAAGGACAACATGCAGCTCCCAACAACTATGAAATTGGTTTCTCCTGGTTTTTTTTTGGAGGGATTTTTTTTCATCATTTCATCGTTTTATTATTTTATTCAGTTTGAAAAACATCAAAAACAAAACACAAAGTCAAAAACTACATTTTTGAAGCAACCCCAAATAAAAAAATAAATTGCCTTATTTGAAGTATTTTGGAAGACATATTTTGTTAATGACAAGTACTAACCCAGCCTCTGTTGTTGTATGTAGTGTTATCAGTCAAAATCTTAAGTGATGATGCCCTGAATAAAGGATTTCAAAGATTTTGGTCTCTTCTTGTGCTTCAGCTCACGAAGGTCCGGTTTTCTCTCTCCTCTCCACTGACTGTCACCTCCTGAGTGCAGGAAATGGAGAGGTCAGCGCCTGGAGCTGGGCCGAGCTCACCAAGAAGGTACAGATCAGATTTAATGGACAGCTTCACAGTTTTTCAGCTCTGTTTTAAAACAACCAGGTGTCCATTCCACAGTCATTCATCCTGTTCATAGTGGCCGTTTAAAAGATCCTTTCATAATGTTCTTTCATTGTAAATGATGGAGGACAAAATCCACTGTCCTTGCTTTGTGCAAAATATATCCAGGAGTTTATCTGTGTGAATCTGAGGCTTCAGCCATGTGAGTTTCAGTAGACCAATCAAGTGGATGTCTTCCAGTGTTTCTACCTGTTTAGTACAAAAACCTCTGGTTGGGTTTCTGCAGTGTTTCCCTGGTAATGGAGAACAAAGTTCTCGGGTCCCTTACTTTAGTAAAAGTACCAGCACCACAGTTTCAAATTACTCCATTATATGTAAAAGTCCTCTATTCAGAATCCTACTTCAGAAGAAGTGCAGAAATATTACCAGTGAAATGTACTTAATGTATCAGTAGTTAAAATATTTTATCTGGAGAGAAATGTCTCCTCTCAATGATATCTGAGTATATTGTAGCAGAATAGCCCAGTAAAGTACAAGAACCTCAAGAACTTGAGTAAATGTGCTTAGCTACTTTGTCCAAGGGTTTTCAATCAGTGGTTCGCAGCCCCCTGGTGGCCCACGCAGGCATTGCAAGTACGTTCAATAATGTAGTTTTACTGTAGGAATAATTATGTTTTTTATTTTATTTTTAAAATATATTTCCATGTATTACTTATTGTTCATACAAATGTATAATATTTAGAAAAGCCAAGTTGACGTTCAGGATTAAAATAATGCCCTTCCAGTCTAACCATCCCACAACAGTGGTCCGTAGGTTACTTCTTAGGAGGAATGGTGATGTAGTCCACCACTGTTTCCTTTTGCGCTGCAGTGGATGGGCACAAGCAGTACAAAATATATATTATAGTGTCAGGCATTGTGTGAATATGTTGATTCTCTAAAAACATTTTATTAGTGCAAAGGGATAAAACATGAAGTAAAAAATTCACACACACATGACAAAAGTTGACAGTATCTAAGGATGACATGCCAACATGCCACATACAGCATGTACTTCAAAATAGCAAAAACAGACCAAAGAGAAAAGAGGGAAACAAAGCAAATGTTTCAATATCGAAATAAGCACCTGAGTATCGATTTAAAACAGCCTAAAAACTGGGAAACTGTTCTTTATAAATAAAAAGCTACATGTTTGTCTGATATGAGACTTTTTATTTCCTCAGAATGCGAAACCTTTGTGGACAAAAAGACCCAACTACAAGTGAGAAATGATGTTTCTACACATTATGTTTCTATTTTCTGTCTGTCTCAGAGGCCCACACAGCTGACTGGACTCACTGAGGATTTGTTTAATTCTTTTTCTGCAGATCCAGTCTGGAGATCCCAGAGATCAACTCGATGGCAGTCAACCCCAGCGTGAGTCCAGACGCTGTGACTGAATGAAAATAAGAGTGGTGTTTAATTAAAATGTGTTAATTCTGCTCTCTGTTTGTTTCTGTGCTTCAGGATAACAGCCTTGTGATCGGTGGAGGAGACAACAATGTCCACATCCTGGATCTGGAACATGGGGCTTTCAAGGTCTGTCAGGTTATCAGAACAGCAGCAGCTCTGCTCAGGGAAAAATGTGATGTTTCTCCACATTCCTGGCAGTTTGGAGAACAGACATTTACAGTACATAATCATGTTCATCATCAGAGCGAGAATTGTCTCTTGGTGTCTATTTAAACATTTTTTAGGCGGTTGTGTTGTATGGCAGCATATTGCTGCCACAATGAGGAAGAAAGTATTTGCTCTTATATTTTTTTTTTGTTATAATGAAAATTTTTACCCGATACATTTTATGCTAAAAATGTTTATATACATATTTTTCATGTTATGACAAATGTTCTCATTATTTCTACATGCCAGAAACCTTTCACATTATTACAACCAATGCCTTTAATGTATCTTGTTATATCACAGTCCCAACATATCTTTATTAAAGTTTTAAAAAAAATATGTTTAGGAAAAAATTGAACGAGAAAAGTTTGTAGTTGTAACAAGAAGTTTCTTATGAAACCGATCAGTTTCTAGTTGTAATGAGAAGTTTAATGAGAAAAGTTTCTGTTTGTAATGAGAAATTTTGAGCTAATTTACTTGAAAAATGATGTTTTTAGTTGTGAGGAGGAAAGTTTAAATAGAAAGGTTTCTTGTAAAAATGAAAGAAGTTTGTAGTTGTAAAGACAAAAGTTTCTTGTCTCTTTTTCCACTTTTTTTACGCTACCATATGTTTTGACTTCCAAGCTCGGTATTTATAAAAACCCTGGCCCTGCTCCTGCCTCTTACAGTAACTCATAAAAACACAATTTCATGTAACTTATCATTTGGAGCTCTGACAAGCAAATCAAATTGTTCAGGTAAGAAGTTGTGGATTTCTTTGAGAACTGTCTCTTGTCTTTCTCCAGTTGGTCCTCCAGGGTCATTCGGACTACATCCACTGTGTGAGTGTGAGAGAGAGGGAGGCAGAGATCCTGTCGGGAGGGGAGGACGGAGCTGTGAGGATTTGGGGTGAGTGACGGACGACGTGTTGGGCAGGCTTCCATCAGAAAACACCAAGACTGTTGTTAAAATAATGATGTTTCTCTCCTGTTGTGCAGACAGCAGGACAGGTCAGTCTGTTCACTGCATCGAGGTCTACAAGTATAAGGTAAGCTGAATACTGTCTAATGAAAGCTAAACTTTACGTTTCTTACACAACAGATGTTTCATTTCCTCCCTTCTTTGTTTCTCAGTGGTATTTAAAGAGAAGAGATCAAAAAAAGAGACGTGGAATGTGTCAGATTTGGCTTTTTTTTTCGTTCCTTTTTTGTGTCGTTCCAATGCAAACAAAAGAAATAACATGAGACAACCAAAGAATTTGTAATTGCAACAATTTTCTGGGAGAAGTGATGCGTTATCTGACAGAAATGCCAGTATTTTTGGCCATGACTGTAAATCTGAGCTGGAACTAGCAGTTGAACAGTAACCCACAGTATTTTCATGGTAACAGTTACATCTCACAGTATTTGTGTGTACTACAGTCAGGTGAAGCTGCAAATATGACCGCTGGTGTTATGTTATGGGCATCGAGTGTAAATATAAGAAAGAAAACTAAACTAAGTGTGGTGTGTTCCAGACCTGTGCACGGCCTCAGTATGGTAAATGGATTAGCTGTGTGACCACAGATTCTGACTGGATGGTAAGAACACACACATATGTGTTTATTGTTGTTGTGTTCTTATTTATATATTAGGTGGGTGGAGGTAGGTTTATAGATTATACATAATTCTTCAAACCTGACACTGCAACACAACTCTTTTCTTAATGTTGTCAATAAATATAATACAGAAAATAAAGAAACACAGACATGATGCATTCAAGTCCTCCTGGAAAAAGAAAACTCACAATAGCATTTTTAGTGATAAGTTTTCAGATGACAAACAGTTGTAAATATGGTTGTGTAGTTATTGACATTATTATATATATGATTTGTGTGTTTTTAATGAAAATACATCTGTACTAAATTTACTATTAACACCAGTAATGTAACAACCCTCAGATCACTGAGGGTTGTGCAGCCTGTCCTCAAACATATGGGTGTCGTTTGCTTACTAGTTGTGACCATTAAATAGTTAAGGCTAATTGTTCAGTACATAGACATATTTAATTTGATGCATCAGTTTTGAGTCTGGTTTCACACTGAACAATTCGTCCCCTGCTTCCTGCAGCTGTGTGGTGGAGGTCCTTCTCTATCTCTGTGGCATCTCCGCTCTCTGTCGCCGACTTCGATCTTCCCTCTGACAGGCTGCCAGAGACAGGCCACCTTCTACCAGGACATGGTGAGATACTGTGTGCGCGCTTATGTGTATGTTATGCCAGCGTGAAGACCACGTTAACCCTCCCACAGTATCTCAGCTCTTAAAAGTTTCTGATATAACACACTACATAGTAAAATAATATAGACTTTCAAAGTTTATTTTTGACCATGAAAAAGATCATTAAGTTACAACCAGATAAACTCCATCTGTTGATGAAGATCATGTAATATAACTGAGAGCTACACCTGTAAACTCTGAATGACTAATATCACACTCTCACATACTGTACCTCGGGTCACTATGGACATAGGAAACATATTAGGAAGCAAACAGAAAAATTGTGAGACTAATGATTGTAGGACAGCATAGAAGCCGATCAGCTGGCATCTGAGGATCATTAAGTTATAATGACGAGGAGATTAAACCTCATTATCTCAGGATAAATGTTATTCAGTAAAAACACAAAGTCTGATGTCAAGATTAAAGGTTAGTGGCAATCAGCCGCTGTAGAAATGTTACACACTGACAATAGAAGAGCTCTGTTCAGTTTCCAGAAGTCTTGCATTTGTAGTAAAACCTGTTTTTATTTAATTTTGGTGTGTTCATAAGATTTGTCTTTGTTTCCTGCTCCTGTTTTAGATTCTGGCTGTAGGTGAAGGATCATTTGTGTCTCACTGTCTGCTGGGGGGAGAGGTCAAAGCTCAGATCCCCTGTATGCCCCAGAGTCTCAACACCTTGCAGCTCAACACCAACAGCACTGAGCACCGGGTGAGAGCTTATTCTGTCTTAGAGAGCTACACTGAGAAAATCAATGGACAATTATCAGGCAATATTATCTTCTTGCATCTCTGTCAGTATTAGCAAGGCTGTGTTCACATAACGGGCATTTATGCTTAGTTCAAGTCTTTTTTTTTTTTTTTTATCTTTTTGTGTTGTATGGTTCAAATTCATGTTTGTGAGATGTATCTCGCTGTGTTTTGGACACCACTGAGGTCTTAAACTGTCACACATGCAGATTTAACTGAAATGTGAGCTGTATGTGTACGAGAATAACAGTGTTATTTGCGCAACAGACTGCAGTTTCAGCTTGATCAGAAGCTTCTCCAGAAACGTCCTCGTCTCTCCACAGACCCCCGTGACTATTGCTGTTCTCTTTCGTGTTCATTTGTACCACTCTGAGGGGCTGACACTGAATGATGGTGATAATGTATGTGGAGAGGACTGAGATGTAAAAAAAAAAAGCCACATGACTTCCAATCTGACAGTGGTCACATAGTCAGATCTGATATGAATTGGATCTAGGACCACGTAGGGAAGTGGCCCAGATCCGATATGGTTTGTTTACACACCCGTAAAAAGATCAGATCCGAGTTATTTGTAGGGGGAAAAAAAGACTGAATCAGCAGGTAATGTGAACATAGCCTAAATGTTCAAAATTAGTTTGAGGTCATTTAGAAACGGTCTCTAGTGCAGTCTGTCCAGCAGAAAGCACTGACATGACTACTGGTCATGATGGGAGCCCTGTTGTTAAACACATTCAATGATTCAAGTTAAAACCAATGGCTTTTATTTATTTGTAAAAAACAAACAAAAAGGCAGATAATGTTACACGATTTTATTTTAACAGCCAGTATTGGTTGGGTGGTAGCTTAACAACCCCACCCATTAAAGTGTTGTTGGTCTTGAAATATTTCCTGTTTTTGCTTTTTTTTTTTGAGAAAAACTTAAATTGTTTATCATTTATTTATTGATTTTTGGGCCAACATCATCAAGCTCTGGAATGTCTCATTTCCTTGGTTATTTTGTAAAAAAAAAAGAAAAGAAACGTTTACAGTTCAGCTTGTAACCTTCATCGTCAGATCTATGGAGCTCGGTGTGGAGTCGCTCTGAATGTGACATCACTTTAAGTCCATGTATTTTGTGTCTGTGCAGGTGCTGACAGCAGGAGGTAGCAGTAGCCACATTGACGTGTTCACCAACCTGTCGTATAGAGCCTTTTCCCTCAGCTTCTGAACACACAGCATAAGTGGTGTTGCATATCAATGTTTGTGTCTCGAGGTGAAGAAGCGGAGTATTAGTGATTTTTTTTTTTTTTGGAAGAAACTCTCCTCACGGCTTTTGTACATTTTAGTCTCAAGATATTAAAATATTTTTCTCTGATTTTATACAAACTGGGTTCTTTTGTCATAATAATCTAAACTCAAAATGTCCACTTTATACAAACACCTTCTCCCTCTTGATTTTTCCTCTTATTTACAGAAGCTGGTGCTGTGGATGATCTAGTGGTGCTAACTGTTGAGATCACCAGTAAAAAAATTCTCCCAAAAATAAATGGGGGGGAAAAATACAAGCACCACATCTAGTCAAAACTTAAGAAATACATTAAAACTAAATACACAGTATTAAGCAGCTCCACTATTCTCACTGGCTGACAAGAGAAACAAGAAGTCTGTACTGGCTATGAATGTTATAAAAATGTACTATTTGTTTTTACTTCTTCATCAGTGTTACATATGTCTGTGATTAAGTGGTGAAAGTGATTCCATGATTTTCCAAGTTGAAGTGAAAGGTTTTTAATTATCATAGCAAAGAAAGTACTTTTAGATTTTCACTTTGAAAACCAAAGTAAACAAACTTGACCTTCACACCAGTCTCCTCTATGGTGCAAAACTTGGAATTGCATCTCCAACAGAAACTCATTCCAACTAAACATGCGTAGCATTCAAAAAGCAGAATACATAAAAAACAGTTTGGCTGTCCACATGTTGGTCTCTTACTGCTTCCCCTTTATGTCTCCTGTCTGCAAGCTTTAAACCAACCTGTCATTGCAGAAACAAATGTAGAAATATATACAAGCAAGCTATATATAGAGCTGGTGGTTCTGACTATGGGGACTAGTCGGTACAGATGAAGTACAGTGAAACCTTTGAGGTGGTTCTTATACTACCTAGGGGGTTTATTCAGTCCTTGGTGTGGTTCTAGTGGATCCAGTTTTGGATGTAGGTCTTGGGTCTCAAATATAGTGTTAAAATTGCACTTTGAAGAGTTGTTACACAGCATTTAACAGAAATGTATGCATGTATATGAAAAAGCATTTTAATGGAGAAATGAAACCTGTCAAACATCAGATTAGACTGTAGTGTCCATATAAACTGTGTGTTACTATGACTGCAGCCGGTAACATTAGGCGAGCAGCGGGCGGGGGCCTCAGGCAGCCGACAGGCAGGCCTGGCGTACACTCTGAGCCCAGGTGTTGAGCAGCTCCGTCACCGAGTGTTTGTCCGGCAGCTGAAGCAGTTTGGATGTCATGTTGCTGTGAACCGTCTGCAGGAAGCTGTTGGCACCTGATGAGAGACAGAAGACGTGGTCAAAAGCCCCATTAACACAAACAGCAGCTTCTGGTGTGGTCTCATACCACCAGGTCTCAACACACTTTACAATCAGATAAAATACAAAAACATTTACAAAAGTAAAATGCAAAGTTAAAATGAAATAAAAGATGATTGTTATTATGAAGTCAAATTAAAAACAGCAAAGGTGTGAAAACAATAAATACACATATAATGTAAACATTAACAATTTAAGATAAGACAAGGGACTAAATTAATTATAGCTAAAATTAGAGGTAATATTCAATAAGTACTTCTAGTTCATCAGCTGAATGCTACAAACAGTCACACACAGGACTGTTTCCTGTCTTTTTTTAAATCCATATTCACACGATCGTGTATCGTCATCTCACCGTACTGTTCTCCATCATCAGCCCAGTAAGGGCTCTGATCAGGATAGTGAGCTGAGGAGGAGGAACACTGGGGAGGTTTTTATCATCTGGCAACAGAACAAACAACAGTAATAAACAACACTGCTTAACTGTTATTAACACCCAAATCTGAATGGCCTGCCCAATGTGTGGACACACTGTCCTGGCTGACGTGATGTGAGTCAGTCTCACCCAGTTTGCAGATAAGGTGCACGGTGCCGTTATTGCTGCAGTACGAAGTATCCAGGTTGACCAGGAACTTGACGTCGAGGCGAGCCACTTCTCCCTGCAGAATGTTGGGGATAGTGTGACGCTCATCATCCTCGTGCTTCCTCTTGCGACCAGAGACACTGGGACCCCTGAGGAGATATATGACAATTATCACTGCTCTTTAAACAGTAGCTCAATGTTTCATATAACCTCAGCATGGTCAATGTTTTAACTATCCCAACCGAAATGCTGCAATTACTCCACTGGGATGCCGACAGTACCCTGCTGCAATGTCACAGTTTTGTTCCTTGTCATTCTGGATACTCTACAAAACACTGCAGACCGTTCACACATAGGGACTGTTTGTTCTGTAGAAAGAATTTATTTTTTTTTACTGAACCTTTAACACTGATCTGTCTGTGACTCCAGAAGTGCTGCAGAAAATAAACCTACGTGATGGGGGGTCCATGGATGGAGGTCATGGCCGGGGCGAAGGTTCGGTACAGAGAGTGGTTGAAGAAAGGCGAGCGAATGTTGGCCATGACAGCGTCCACAAATACTGCTGTTTGGTGGCCACTGGAGGAGGTGGGGGGGTCGGCTGAAAAAACAGGGAAAGGCAGTCACTGCTAGGGCTGGACTTTGATACTGATCTCTCAATTTAATTTAATGTGATGATTTGGATTCGCTGATTCAAGGCGTGATGTTTAATTTACATCAGATGTTGCATAAAATGTACAATCTTGAAAAGTTAAAAAGTTTTGCTACATTCAACAAGTGAGCAACACTGTTTCTTTGAGTATAAAATGACATACAGGTCACATTATAGGTCCATTATACCCAACAGGACCAGACTGAATAAAGCAGAATGTACACACTGTTGATTTGACTTCCACAGCCTCACATCTCATAGCCAGAGATAACATCTGTTCAGCAAAACAAACCCAGAGCACAGATCAATGTGGAGTATTTTTGCAGTCTGTCCCTCTTGTTGACAGGATCTGCATGGTAGAGCTGTACCCTACTCAGAATTTTGTCAGTCAAATCTCATTTGGCTGTTCAACACAGCAAAAGTAGCTTCCCTAACGCCGTCTCCGACTGATGATTCGACTAGTTGACTTTTAGGGGGCAGCCCGATCACATTCTGTAACTATTGATGCCGATTTGTGATTCAGCATGGCAAGAGCTGCAATTGATCAGAAAAATCTATATTTTTATCCAGCCCAGTTACTGCACTGCAATGTGGTCTAACAATATCGAAACACCTTAAAGACATAGTTCTAGACAGTGAAAGTAGAAGAGTTAAAGTAAAAAAAAAAAAAAAAAAAAAAAAAAAAAAAAAAAAAGCCAGAAAGAAAACAGAGGCAGAGGTTCATACCACGGCCATGTCGTTCTTCAGTTTCTCTAAAGCGATTTCACACTTCTGTAGTGTCTTCAGAGGACATCTGCAGTACAGAAGTCACAGGAGCACATGGATTCAAGGGAATTGCTATTGATGAGAAGTGTGGAATTACTGTGGCATTCATGATGTGGCCTGTTACCTCGTGTTTGGATCAGTCAGGATGGTCAGCAGACTCTTCATCTTACTCAGGTCCTTCTTTCTGTCTGTTTACAGAAAAATCCAAAAGGAACGCACACACAAAAAAAATCTCATCTTAAATGTCTTGTTTGACCAACAGTCTAAAAGGAAATCCAGCCAACTGACACATAAATGCCCGTTGCTGTTACTTTATTAGATACACCTGGACAATTGTATGCAATTCAATGCAACATTTCCATCTTAACATCTGTGTTCCTAATATTATGATCCTCTCATGTATGTAGCTGGGGAGGACAAAACACTGAGACACCTCTAAATATAATGTAGTCCAGTACAACACCACCTTTAACTATGACCTCAATAATAAACATAGAATTGAATTTAGACATTTATGACAATTTCACCAAAAACCAAAACATTATGAGCTTCATAAACACAGATGTTAAGGCATATGAGTTACATTGAACTGCATACAATTGTACAGGTGCATCTAATAAAGCAGCTGGTGTGTGTATATACCATATATAAATTACTTAAATAATTAATCATTCAAAATTTATGTTCTGTAAATCATCTGAGCATTTCATCTCCAAGGATGACCTTCATTTTTGTCGATCTTGTTAATCATCCTGCGCAGAGGTTCGATGTATTTGGAGAGCTGTTTGAGTTTCTCCATGTACTGCTGGTCCTCTAGAGATGTAGCTCCGGCTGGACTCATCACTGAGCTGGGGTTACCTGCAAGGACAGAGAGGAGAATTTTGAGGACAACAATGAATTTAGTCCATTTTGGCTGTAACATAACAAAATGTGGAAAAAGTTAAGCACTGTGAATACTCTCTGGATGCACTGTGTTCCAAGTCTCCACACATACTTCTTCACCGTCTGGAAGTGTCCAGGGGTAGTCAACTGTTGAATGCATGTTAACAGAGTGCTACCTAACCTCATAAAATGACTATAATCCTAATCTTTCAGAGTGTAACCTTTCTGAGCCAAAAATGAAAAGCAAATGAAAACCAAATGTCCATTGCCTTGGTTTGAGACACTGCAGAAGAAGTTGGAGTGAAACAAAAGTGAAATTAACAAATCAGCAACTGTGCTTGGTTCTGTATGTGCAATAAAACCTTGGCAAGTAAAAAGCCATTAAGTGTCTATCAAAATAACCTGCAAAACGAGCATAAACTTGCAGAGTTGCAATAGTTTCAGCTTTGCCTGCTGTCTGTCATCCATCGCAGGTATGTGTTCACAGTGAGCTTGCTAGGCTAACAGCTAACAGATGTGGCTGTGTGGTGGTGACAAGATGACACGGTCCAGGCTGTGTGGCCTCATCTTTCTCCTTCCACCTTACTTTCAACTGTTTGTATCTGTATCACCATTAAACACTGAGGCAGCAGCAATGACTGTTGCTGACTTACAGCAATAACAGTTTTAATAAAAGCAAAGGTGCGGCTAAAACACAGTGAAATAAGTTAAAAAGCAGAAAAATCAGAACGCTTCAAACAGTTGTGGGCAGCAGAGGATACCTGTTAGTGTGTCACTCAATTTTATGGTCGTTCTTCCCTGTAGTGTTCCATAAAATGTCTGACTGTGTGTGTGTGTGTGTACCTGGAGTACTGAGCGGTCCAGGAGAGGGAACTCCATAGTTCTGGGGAGTTCTGGCGTTGGCAGGGCTCTGTGAGGGCTGAGGAGACGGGCTGGGCTGGAAACCCCCTGGAGATGGAGTGGGACCCGAGCTGAGAGAGGAGGCAGGAAACAGAAGTTAAGACAAGACACACAGAGTGCAGAAACCTTGGCTCAGCATCACAAAACATTCAACTCCAGCAGCACCCTTACTATCAATCACATAACAAAATACATACATTTGACAATAAATACCTTAAAGATCAACAAAACAGATAAAGTAAGAAGTCAAACTCGAAAACTGCTTATAAATATTGCACACTATACCAGAAGATAGCACATTTGACAGTACAACAGGTCGAATACTGCACATCCCCATGCAAACCCTGCTATAAAGTGCTCAGTAAACAGATAATTCAGCTGATGTGGTTTAATCTCTCACTGCAAGGAGAGAACAATGGAGTTTTTTAACAGTTCAGTCTATAAGTAGGAAGTCTAAACTCTCAGCCAGAGGCTACACACTGGCTACACCAGTCTGAATGTAAATGGGCTCAGACTAATTGTACTGACAGGTTAGTGTAGATGAATAAACTGTTTAAAAACCGAGTTTCCTTTCTAAACCAATAGGTTTGAGCCTACACCAGGTGTATACAACTATAAATCATTAAAAGTCAAATAAATGATACAAATAAACCGTAAACAAACAAGACGCAGCATCACAAGTGTTTTTATTTTATTGAAGCTGTCAAATGTGAACTCGTCATACCCGGCTGAGTTTGGCTGTGAGGTGGGGGGCTGGGGTGAAGGCTGGGGAGGGGGAGGCATCGGCTGTGGCGTCTGGACCTGCACCAGTGATGGTGATGACATCATGGAATGCTGCTGTACCTGTGATTGGACAAAAGAGAAGGCAAATCAGCCAATCACAAGAGGATGTGCTGCAGCTGCTAGAGAAACAGGAACTTTATGAACAGAAGTGGTAAAAAATAGCTGATGATAGAGTGGATCAGCCACATCTGGCCAGTGAGAGTTTTGCCAATGAAAACTATAATGAAAAATATTCATTGATTGCCTATTCTTCATGATGAAAACAAGACAAACTGAAAAAGTAGTATCTGATAACAAGAACTATGATTAAATGTTTTACAATTTTCGTTGACAAACAATGTGAAAGACACATGAATGCACATTAAGTAACAACCATCTTAATTCTTAAGTCTTTTTCAATGAACTGCAGCATCTGTGGAATCACAAAGTGTAGCTACTGAGAAACTGAACAAAAATCCCTCTTAGGCCACGTTCACACTGCAGGCTGAAGTGGCTCAAATCCGATCTTTTTGCCCAAATGTGACCCATATCCGATTTCCTTATGACAGTGTGAACAGCACAAATCCTATTTTGTCAAATCCGGCCCAGGCCACTTTCATATGTGGTCCTAAATCGGATACATATCCGATGTTTTGCAATGCGACTTCAGTCTGAACGGCCAGGTCGCATTTCATGCGATTTTTAGGTCATTGAAATGCAACAGACGTCACAATTCTGCGCTGGAGGAGGCGAGGCCATAAGCAATATTTGTGCTCTCCTTCTTATTATTTCTTTATTTCGATTGCACATTAACTGGTACATCACTACGCACATGCTATCACGAGCCGCATCCATTTTTATTTTCGCAAACAAAGTACGCTGCGTCTGACGTCACGTCCTCTTTTGCGCATGCGGGTCACCTCAGGGCTGTATACCGTTCACACATGAGACAGATGGCAGTCGCATTTAAATGACAGTGTGAACAACAGCGCAAAAAAATCGGATTTCTGCAAAAAATCCGATCTGAGCATTAAGACCTGCAGTGTGAACGTAGTCTTATTCAAAAGTTGATTTACAGTGGCTGTTTGTTGCACAACTGTTAATAGGAAACATCTTACACTCAGTAATGTTCTGTCTCTGTCATCCGATGTTGGCGCTTTTTGGAAAAAGTTGGTTTATGAAATAAATTCATCTACAATCCACTGAGAGTTAACTGTTGAAATGATTTTTCAAGTAAAAACAGTGGCTAGTTCCAACTTCATAATTGTGAAGATCTGCTGGATTTTCACTTCTATTGAGAAAAAGAATAACTGATAGTTGCAGCCATAAATCAATGTTAAGCCAGAGTTGGCCCAGTATTTTAAACTTCCCCATGCGCCTGTGGTTCCTGCTTTAATCTATTTAAGAGCTGCTGCCCTACACTAAACTTCTCAACTGGCTACATGGCTCAGTTTTTAATCTGTAAGAACATTTTAATGTTTTTGTTCATCTGTGAAGGAAAAAAATCAGTCAGTCAGAGAAATAAAAAGTGTCTTGCTCATAGTTCAATTATAAAATCCTCTCTCTTGATTGGCTGCTGATGGCACCTGCTGTAGTCAGCTCTACAACAAGTGGACCAGGTCGCATCAGCGCCCATGTCACTGTTACCTTTTGTACAGTGGCAGATCTTAAAATGAGATTTGACTTAGAGTTCTCTTGACTGTTGATTTGAATAATCTGTGTTTAGGTTGCAGCCCTAGTTCCAACAACCTCTAGGAATAACATGAAACAGCCGTAGCCTGAAAGGAAACGTCCAGTGAAAAGAAAACATTTGCTGCTGTGCTGTTAAAATGTACATTGAGTCATATGAGTCATCTGTTGAGGGCTGCTCTCTTCTCTCCTCTGGATCTTATTTGGCCCAGCCTGGGTTCAAATGTTAGTTTGGATTCATCACGTACACACACTGAATTTTCCCTTACCTAACTGTTTGATCCTAAAAAGGTGTAAGCAGGCAGAGCACGATGAGGTGAAAAAGCCACTGACAGACAGAAGCACACTGTGGACAGGACAGGAATGGTTCACGGGTCAGGGGCCAGAGGTCAGGAGTCAGGAGGGCAATAAATA